CCCCCCCCCCCCCCTTTTCAAACACAAAACAAGTGCCATTGTTTCCTTGCATACCTGTTCTTTTTCAAACACGCAGTGACTGTCTATCTTCTCTTGACGGAATTGGAGTTTATCTAATCTCCTCGGACATGGCTGCTTCAACACAATATCAGCTTTCTGATTCAGGAGAATGCCAATTTGGAGTGCTCTGGTGTCGCAGAGCTCATTGGGATGGTGCTTGCCACAGCTTGCAGGTATCCTCCGTGAAAGTATGACGATATCATTGGAAATGCTTCTTTTGGGTAAATCGTCCGCCGGGCTGGATTCTCATCGTCTTCACTTGCCTTTAGGATGCAATGAAAAGGGAGGAGGAATGGGGGAGCACCCTACTCTTAAGCTGGGAATTTATGCTTATCAACTTCACTGTACTTACCATTGGACTCCCCAACAGCGGTGCTGCAGGTTTATGGAGATCAATGGTCAGTGAATCGAATCGGGAAAGCAAAATTCTGGTCCCACCACATGCGCCGAGTTTTTGGTTTCTAAAGTTACTTTTCCATTCCATTTTAACAGGGAGGCCGACCCAACAGGGGTGCTGCATTTTAATTTTTAACGGAAATTTGTCAAGTAAGACGGAATTCCGAATTCAACATTTTAAAAGTGGAATGACATTTTTTAAAAGTGGAATGACATTTTTTAAGATGGAATGAAGATTTAAATTTTAGAATGTAATTTTATTATGGAATGATTATTTAACTCTAGGATTTTTTTCTGGTGGGGGTCCTCACACTCACAATCTTCTCAGTATAACAGTGCCGGGAGCATTACCCAGTTTAGCTTACTGGATCAAAACCCGGTCAGTACAGGCCAAGGAACCTGGGACCATGGCGGAACCTGGGCCCATGGTGGAACCTGGGACCATGGACGCATCAAGACTAATAGAAACTGGATGATTTACCCAACAGACCTACTGCTACATGCACATATTAAGTGATACTGGCTTGGTGCAGATTAATGGAGATGAACGGCCTGTAACCCCTTATCCGTGCAAGGTGGAGGGGGCAGGGAGGGGTGGGTGGGTGGGGGAGGGGAGGGGAGAAGGGGGCTTGTTCTGAGTTAATTTTGCTTTGCTTCTCGAGCTGCCGTGCGAAGATTTTGACAGATATGATATACCGAAAGAGATGAGGAGTCCTTCAGGACATTGGTTAAAATTGGAATGATACAGACGAGATTAGCATGGCCTCTGCACAAGGATGAGACGGATCAAAAAAAAAAAAAAAAAAGAACAAAACAAATACGGATTAGGAAACCGCAGGAAGGAGGTGGAGAGAAAGGGTGACCAACAGACAAGGGGAATGAGAAATAAATAAATTAAATAATTAAATGGAAGAAGGAATGAAAAAGAGAAGGGGGATGCAAAGAGGAACACAGGAGAGGAAAGGTATGTAATAGGAAATAAAGGAAGAGAACGGCAAGGAGAAGAGGGGAGGAGAGGGGAGGAATATGGATGATAAAAGAGGAAAGTGGTAAGGGAGAGGGAAATGGAATGTGGTATACAAAGGTGATGAAGTAAGGGAGGCCTTAGGGGATTCAATTAGAAAAGATCAGAAGAAGCATGAGCTGAAGATCCCAGAGAAACTGAAAATCTGACTGCTTTTCGTGGTGGGCGATTTGTCAGTGKGSGGGSGRGTGGGTGGATGGTGGATGGTGRGKGGGGGGKGRGGGGKGRGGGGKGAGGGGKGRGGKGGKGGGKGGKGGGKGGKGGGTGGGTAAAAGGTGGCTGRGTGGTGRRTKRGTGGTGGGTGAGTGGTGGGTTGGTGGTGGGTGAGTGGTGGGTGGGTGGTGGGTGGGTGGTGGGTGKGTGGTGAATGGGTGGTGGGTGGATGGGTGGTGGGTGGATGGGTGGTGGTTGCCTTCTGTACATGCAGTCCAGAGCTTGTGGAGGTTCAGCTTTTTCGGCCAAATGCAGAGGTAGACTTTCCCCTATGCTATTATGTGGTGTACCCCTAACTGGACAGTGGACAAGCATCGGTCCCCAATAATCCATCTTAATAGGCCACCCATGCATCTGTCCACAAAGTCCGTCTTATTCAGCCAGTTGCAGAGGTAGAGCCTGACTTTCCCCCAGCCTTTGTGTACCCCTTGCTTAGGTTCACAAATCACCCCTGACCCATGTCTACTCCTTGCTTAGGTCCACTTAGGTCCACAATTCACCCCTACCCTATGTGTACCCCTTGCCTACGTGCACAAATCACCTCTACCCTATGTCTACCCCTTGCATAGGTCCACGAATCACCCTTGCCCTTTGTGTATCCCTTGCTTATCGCCCGCATCCCATGCGTACCCTTTGATTAGATCCCCAAATTGCCCCTACCCTATGTGTACTCCTTGATTAGGTCCACAAAAGGAATCACTGCAAACCACCATGTGTCAGCTGCTTCTCTTGATATCAGCTTGCCTGCATCCCTCCTCTTCGTGAAGTGGATGGTCGATGTATTGAGAATGCCTCGGGTTCTGTGATGTGAGGCATCATATCGATATTGTCTTTCTTGAAGTTTCTTCTCTTTTTTCCCTGGTGTCATATGTTAAATGATCGATTCAACTTTCTGCCGTTTCTTCTGCATGATATCTCCACTTCCTGCAGAGTGAAATTCGTTGTGACCAGCCTCCATCTCTCCTTCGGGCTCTTGACGCTGTGTTGTGGGTCCAGGCTGAAGTCTGTCATGACCAGCCTCTGTCTCTCCTTCTTTGGACTCTAAGCCGTGTTACATATTGCTCCATAAAATTGGTAGACTTTACTGTTTCCCCGGTCATGACCAGCTCCTACGCTGTCTCTCCTTTGGGCATCTGATGGCTGAAACATGCCCTGGAAGTCCAAAAGTCGGAATCCCCACAGCCCTAAGCTTTGGTAGCAGCTGAGTCAACAGTCCATCCAAAAAAAAAAAAAAAAAAAAAAAAGAGTCACCAGTCCATCCATCCCAGCTTCTTTTCTCCGGAGCACGGGGCTTCCCAGCCCTAAAAGAACTGAGCTGTGACAGGCACGATCTTCCCAGGTGCCGCCAGCCTTTTCCCTGCAGTAGACCCGAACCGCAATTTTGGGGCGCGTTAACCAGTGCGTTGGAATAAGGCACCAGGGAAAGGGACTGGTGGTTCAAACTACCAGTACTAATTGGCCCATACATCGGCCGCGGGCCCTTTTCGTGCACGCGCCGCAACTTTCTGGGCCTCCACGCCATTGATAAATTTCATCAATGGCCATTTTTGCGTTTACGGCCTGCGGAAGTCGCGGTGAGGCGCCCGCGGCTGATGTATGGTCAGTCCAAGTACTGGTGGTTTAAGGTCATGCTTGGGTTCGGTCTCTCCTTCCTGTCAGGGCATGCTCAGAGGTAGGACATTTTTCTGAACTTATTTCACCGCAACTCCGGCCAAGTTCAGTCGAAAAAATCCTCGCACGGCCTCAACGATGGCCTTTCCGCGTGGCTATCTTCACAGTTCTGCGTAGTGGAGTCCCCCTTCCTGTACATGCTGAGCACACCTTCTTTCCATTTGCCTGTGGGTTTTTCCTTGTTCCATGATCGATCCTATCAGTTATCGAGGTGTCCCCCCCCCTCCACTTTCTCCACCCCCAAGCAGCCACTCGTTTTTCCCGAAGAAAAACAGGCAGTAACCCTTGTTCTCATTGTATTCAACAGGGTCTGAACCTGTGATTGATGATTGGTTAACAGGGGCACTATAGATCTCTACCACCATTGAGGTTATTTATAGTAGCACTTTACTAGTGAAGGGAAGGGATGATCTTCTGAAAAATGGCCAGTATGCCATGTGCCAATATCTGCTGGGCTGTGGTCAGGTTTGACCCAGTCGACCGGAAAAGCTGGCAGGCCCCGCAGGCCCTGGCCCTGTCATTGGGGGGAGGGTGTGGGGGAAGGGGTGTAGCCCAGGGGCTGACAAGAATCAAGCATCGGAAAAGGAGGGGGGCTAGGCATACGTCTGCAGTCCTCCAGCATCTCCGGAGATGTTTCGGAAGGCATTGACAATGGAGAGTGCGAGGAAGACAGTGTGTGTGTACAAGGGAGAAGGATGGTGGTGGACTGGACACCCCTGGAGGAGAACTGCGTGGCGGCAGTCGGATCCCGATAGGGGAGCCAACACCCACTGACGCTCGCACAGCAATCATTGAGATGTCTGCTGTACACGTTTCATGTACTGTGGCGCAACTGCATGATCGATCTACTTACGGGTCCTTCACACTTTGCTTGAACTGCATGTGTTGGAGTTGCACTTGGTCTAACCTTGGGCCTACTGGTGGTCTGACTTTTGCAATAAAAATAATAAATATTAAATATGGATACTCCAAAGAATCTAGCTTACTTTTTGTTGACTTCTTCTGGAAGGTTCTGAAATAAATTTATAAAATAGTTTAAATAGTATAAATAACCCACTTTGGGTGAAACATTGGTGATGCTTCAGCACAGGGACCTCGAGGAATTCGAGGCAAAACGCTTAAGCTGGAAGATTGTGACCTTGCTTTGTGAACATGACCAATGTTTGCCTCTCATCCTTGAGGTAAGAAGGTGTGATGATGTTACTTCCTTTTTTTGTCGCTGAGTGTTGATACTGACCTCTCTCTCTCTCTCTCTCTCTCTCTCTCTCT